CTTCTTGTTGATAAGACTAGAGAGGGAGTTGAAGGTAAACTTGAATTATGGAGGTCAACCTTAGAGTTTAAAGGTTTTTGCTTGAGTAGATCTAAAACGGAATATATGGAGTGTAATTTTAGTAGTAATAGACCTAGTGAGGGGATTGTGACTTTGGGTGATCAAGTCATTAATAAGAGTACACGTTTTAGATATCTTGGATCTATTTTTCAGAGTGATGGTGAAATAGATGGGGATATTATCAGCAGAATTTAAGTTGGATGGTTGAAGTGGAGGAATGCATCGGGTTTTGTTATGTGATAGAAATTACCCCTCAAACTTAAGGGAAAATTCTATAAGATGGTAGTGAGGCCTGCAATGCTTTATGGTGCCGAATGTTGGCCTTTAAAAGAGAAGCATAATACTAAGTTAAGTGTGACAGAGATGAGGATGCTCAGGTGGATGAGTGGCTTTACCCTTAGAGATAGGATACAAAATGAGCATATACGTGAAAAGGTTGGAGTAGCTCCAGTAGAAGATAAGATTAGAGAAGGTCGCCTTAGATGGTTTGGTCACATAAAACGGCGGCCTTGCGATGACCCGGTTAGGAGAGTAGAGGTATTAGATTTGACTTATGTTAAGAAAGATAGGGGTAGACCTAAAAAGACTTGGTCAGAAAATATTAGGAACGACCTTTCTTTATTAGATTTAAACGAGAATTTGACTTTTAATAGGACACAATGGAGAAAAAGGATTCATGTAGCCGATCCCACGTTGTGGGATAAAGGCTTGATGTTGTTGTTGTTCTTTTCTTTGTCTGGGCTAAAGTTTAGTAGTTGCAGCGGGGAAAAATATATATATTTTTTTAATTCTTTTTTTTTTCTTGACGTAGACTTTTTTTTTCCTTTTGACTGAAGATGTGGATGCTGGAAAATTTGTTCTTGATAGTGCCTTGAAAGAGATAGAAGAGGAATCAGTTAAGGAGTTTGGGACCAAGAAGAGTCGAGAGACATTGGAGAGATGAGAGAAGAAAGAAGCGATAGGAGATAGGAGAGAGGAGAGAGGAGAGATAAAGGATATTGAGAGGTGAGAGGCTCAGGAGCTAAACTGGCTACAAATTTCTTTCATCACATTACTATATTATTTAGTACATGACTTGGAACCCTTTGTATTGACTATTAGAGTTAGGGTTCATAACAAAAAGACTAACAAACACATAACTAGATGGTGCTGTTTGGTTGCAAGTAGGCTTTAACTCAAGTAGGACTTAAACTCAAGTTAGATTTAGTAGTAGTACTACTACTACGACGACAACAACAACAACAATAATCCTATATCCCACAATGTGAGCTCGGCTACATGAATTTGTTTTTCTATTGTGTCCTATTAAGAGTTGAATCTTCATTTTAATCTTTTAAAAAAATATCATGTCTAATACTTTCTAACAAAGTCTTTTTAGGTCTACCTTTACATTTCTTAACATAGGTAATATTTAATACATCTACCCTTCTAACCGCGTCATTGGAAGGCCGTCGTTTAATGTGACCAAGCCATCTTAGGTGATTATCTCTATTCTTATATGCTACTGGAGCTACTCCCAACTTTTTTACGTATATATTCATTTTGCATTCTGTCTCTAAGTGTAAAACCACTCATCCACCTAAGCATCCTCATCTCTACGACATTTGATTTATTTTTTTGTTTTCTTTTAATGGCCAACATTGTGTGCCATAAAGCGTTGCAATCTTACCACCATCTTATAGAATTTTCCCTTAAGTTTGAGGTGCACTTATCTAGCACACAATAGACTTGATGCATTCCTCTACTTCAATCATCCAACTTGAATTCTACTAATAATATTCCCATCTATTTCACCATCGCTTTGAACAATAGATTCGAGATATCTAAATCATATACTCTTTTTAATGACTTGATCGCTCAAAGTCACAATCCCTCCACTATATCTATTAGTACTAAAATTACACTCTATATATTCGGTTTTAGATCTACTCAAATGGAAACCTTTAGACTAGGTTGACTTCCATAGTTCAAGTTTTCCTTCAACTCTATCTCTATTCTTATCAACAAGAAGAATATTATTAGCAAAAAACATCACCATGACACATCCTCTTGCAAATGTCTAGTAAGAACATCCATGACTAAATCAAAAGATATAAACTTAAAGTTGATCCATGATGTAATCCAACTATAATAGGAAAATACTTGGTCAAGTCACCTTGTGTTTTAACACAAGTAACAGCTCCTATTTACATATCCTTATTTGACTTGAATATAATTATTGTTAACTCATTTCTTTTCTAGAACTCTTGAGAGCACTTCTCTTAAAATTTTATTATGTGGTTACTCTAGATTAATAAATATTATATGTAGATCCTTCTTACTCGCTCTATACCTTTCCATCAAACCTCTCAATAAATGTATGGCTTCCATAGTAGACCTACCCGGCATGAATCCAAACTCATTTTGAGAAACATTAGTATCATGCCGTAACCTTTTCTTAATTACTCTCTTCTGTAGTTTTAATGTATGACACATTAACTTAATTCCTTTATAATTCACACACTCATATGCATCACTCTTATCCTTAAAAATAGGAGCAAACATACTCGTTGAACTCAACTGACATCTTTTTAGTCTTCATAATAATATTAAAAAGTTTAGTAAGCCAATAAATTCCTTGATCTATTAAACATTACCAGCAACGACAGTATTTCAAGTTAGATTTAGTTAGTTCTTTAAAGCCGTATTTAATACATCTTGATAGTTAAAACATGAAAACGGTTTGACATGATAGGCCTTAAATCTAGATAAACTGTTTGGCTACTTAATTCAGAATGTAATGATTTTTAGATTGTGAGAGCTTATTATATCTTCATGCCCTATATTAACCATTTGACTAATTAATCATAGTTAGTTTATTAACATCTCTATTATTCACGAATTAGTAATTTACCACTCTAATTAAACACATTAACTTCTATTTACTCAAAGGAAACCAAAAATAACACCCATTAGATCAAGTTAATGTCTTATTAATTAATTAATTTTAATTTTTACAGATAATTTAATTTTTTTAATTAATTTATCTATATCTAATATGCTTGATTGAATATTAGTGATTTAGTTGAAATTTTTAATCAATTATAATTTGCTGAATCAAATTATAATTAGCATGAGATAATATCCTAATTGATAATGAGTTAATAATTTACAAAGCTAACACAATTTCTTCTATTTTGATTAAATTAAATCACAAACAATATCTGTTATTTTAAGTAATATCTTTTTAATTAACCAACATTAAGTATTAAAATTCATTTAATATTTTAATTAGTGTTTCTTGTTTAATTAAACCCACTAATATTAATAATTAATGCAGTTATCAACCTTAAGAAGATCAAATTTATAAATTGCCAATCATGAACTTATCTCAACCATCTACCTCTTATCCAAATTCTCAAAACCCTCACTGATATAGAAGTTAGGAATTTGCTGAATATGAAGATGAATAGTTTGTGAGACCTTGCGAATTTAATTTAAATTTGCTGAATGCTCGGATTTTGGAAATTTGGGAGTTCAGATAAAACTGGGGATAAATGAGATTTAAAATTCTGCAGTATCAACATTTTTTTTTCTTACTGCTTGACAAGATTTGAGTTAAATCTTGCTTAAATTTTGCGGAGAACTTGCTGCCGAACAACCCAAAAAGTTTTAAAATATAACGACATATAATGAAGAATTTGATGTAAAAGACTAGCCCAATGAGTTAGAGACTTAAGTTGATATGCATTAATCGCAATTAAACTATATTTTGCTTTTGAGCAGGTCGTGAATGCCTTTTGAGTATCAGTCCTTGAGGAGGTAAAGCATTTCCATGAATCCTCTCTGTTCCTTCTCCAGCCTATGTGCATCATTATACTTGTATTGTGTATAAAAAATTGCTTAGGCCTTCTTCAGCTTTTCTTTGAACAATGTTTGTGTACGCTGCTAACCATTCCTCGTCTGCACTTGCTCTTCTTTGAAATGACATGTCAATTTGGTCCAAAATCTGAATTGGGTTCCTTCATGCACCACTTCAGATATTATCCTTTGAGTTGATTGCTTCTTTGAAGAATTGTATGCAAACCCCCGAGAAATACTAATGCACGATGCTTCATTTATTCACTAGCAACTTAATGAGGAAGTATTGATTACCATCGAGCACTTGACTTTTTTGTTGATTGCTCAATATTCTCCATTAGAATCTTCAAAGTTGCTTAGGAACTGGATTTCTAGACTCGGTGTAATAGTTATTATTTCCCCAGGAAGCACACAATCTTTTTGAAGTAAAATCCCTTCAATTTTCTTTCATTGAATATATTTTTAGAAAGTAGCAGCCAATTCTGATAATTAATCAACTATTGCAGGTTGAGCCATTACAAATTTTCGCCGTTGATTGTCCAATTACTGATTATATTAATAATTCCTTTGCATTGTGATTTGTACATGTCAAAATTTATATATGCCAACATTTTTGTTTTCTTCCTTCAGCTGCAAGCTACATACAGCTTCAAACAGTACTCCACTTCTGACAACATTTTAGGTCTAAATGCTATTCAGAAACCATATCTAAAGTTTATCTATTAAAAATGTTCACTTTAATTTAACAATGTAATTAGAAAATGCCTTGGAGATGTAAAAGATCCTTTGGATTATTATTATTATTATTAAATAAAATGGGAAAATTCTCATGCTTACCAATTTTAATTTAATTTGTAAAAAACATGTGCCATTCCTGTATTGATCTAGCTTACTATTAAACTGAATTTAAAGACAAAAGCTGAGGTGTTCATTATTGAAATGCTCAAAAGCTTATATCAGAATTAATGATTGTATTTGTTGCCAAGGTTGAACAATTGTATGAAGCCTTATTGGGTTTTGTGGAAGTTAAACAATACATGATGCGGGCTTCACTATTGTGGTTCTTACTCTGGTTTAATTTATTATCCTATCACTGTAAGGTATCTTGTGCAGTCATCAGTATCCTTGGGAGATATTTTTATGGCAGATATGTGTTGGAACTTGGAATTGTACATAAATTTGTTTGTGCAGGATAAGTTGGTACTTGCATTCATTGTAATATTTTATTACTAATATTTATATTTATATTATTTTGCTTATTATTTGTTACATTGGTAGCATCGCATATTGCTTTCTTAGCATCCTTACGAGCCACTTTATATAATAGATTAGATACTAAAGAGGGAGAAAGATATATGTATAAGTTAGCCAAACAAAGAGATAGGAGTAGTAAGGATTTAGTTCAAGTGAAGTGTATTAAAGATGAAGATCAAAAAATACTTTTCTTAGAAGATGATATTCAACAAAGATGAATTTTGCCCGTGAGTGTTAAATTAGGTGAAATATGAGAAAAAGTTATCATTACTTTCTTAGAGAAATACATGTATTCTACACGTTAAACTATGATGAAGTCTCTTGTTCGATATGACACTTGAAATATTTTTTCAGCTCTTGTACCAAATGAAGTCCAATTTCTTCATGAGATTAATGCTGTCAAGCATCTTATTGAAATGCATTCAACATCTAGTTACTTTATGAAAAATGAGCTCTACCATTTGGAATAAGCTTAGTGGCAAAATATATATTCAGTTGTGATCACATAAATAAACTACCAAATGTTTTATTAATTTGTGCTTGAATTCAATAATTAGAGAATTTTCTGCTTTTGATTATTGTTTTCATGTAGATTTTGTAGCCATTAATGTTTCATTTCTCTTTTTCTCATTTTTTTTTGAGTCTAATATCCTAACTTCTTGTTATTGATGTGAGAACTGCCCAGGGTGACCTTCGGGATGTTTATCATCTTAGAAAAAATCTATTGAAAGCATCGTTAGATCTGGTCAATTTGAAGGTTTGTTTTTTCATACTGGAGACTGTTGTGGCAGTTCATATTTGCATATTCTAATTTTTTTTCCTTTGCATCAAATTCTAGACTAAGCAATGTGGTATTTATCTTAGCCAAGGTTTGATATGATTAAAATTTAAAATTTTCTTTTCTAATATATTTGATATTATTAAGATTATTCGTCAAATATATGAGCCAAATGCTTTTCAGTCTTAGTAACTACTCCCGAAATATGCTGATTGTCTTGGTTAATATTCCTTTAATTGCAATCTCCTAGTTCTTTTAAGATACTAAAAACCAATAAACTAGATTTTGCAAAGGAAAAAAAAACTAGATTCACAAAGCTAACTCATAATAGTTAGGACAAGTCTATTGATAATGATGTTGAAACCGTTGTTTAGAGGATTATACAAACTCCAATAGCAAAGACTAGTAATGCGACTCACCCTCCTTTCAGAGAAAACAGCATTAGAAACATGGATGTATTATACTATCCGCATCAATATTTTGTTTTGGTCCGTGCCATGACTTATTCTCTGACGGAAGTGTAAAGAATTTATGAATTAGAAAGCATTGGAATTGAGTTGAGTTGGAGTGAGCTGGTCTCAATTCGAGATAAAAAAATTTATATTTTAATTCTGCAAGTTCGTGTTGAGCTAAAATGATTTATTCAAAGTTGATTTTCGAGTTAAGTCTGGCCAAGTTTCTTAAGTCACAATATTTTCTTAATTCATAAATGAATTATATTTATGTAAATATCTCTATACTATCACTTAAGTTTTTAAAAGCTATATATAACATAGGTGTGCATATATGCAAGAATTATAAATAAATTTATATATTATATTCTTATAAAATAGATATGAGTATGAGCATGTGAGATGAAACATAAATGTTTATTTTTATTTGAATCAAGTTTATTTTGAGCTATTTTTGAGTGATTCATCCTTACTTAAAACATTCTAATCATAACGTTTTATATTTGAAGGCCTTATGGAAATGTAAGGCAAAATAACTTGAGATAGAGTTGTGATTGAGTAGCTAATTTCCAGTCTTCATTCTATATTCATCATCTAGTACAATGCATGAGGCCTCCTATAAATAGGCCAAAAATGAAATAAAACTAAAAGACATAAATACCCTCAGGGCTACAATATCAAAAGACCATCCATAAGGGTAGTAAAACTGAAAAATAAAATAAACTAATACATAAAATGACTCAAAATATAAACTCATGATTATGACCGTCGATCTCCGGTGTCTCCGATGGTACCATGTCGAAATCACTGACGATGTCCTCATCACCAAGAGCAGGAGTTGTTTTTAAAATATATACCCTTTGTTTGCATAAATGTTTGGTTGAATATAAATCCTGTCAACTCTAGTCTTTGACATGTATAAAATCGATATAAAAAAATTGGGATTTATGAACCTATCCTATAGATAAGTGAATCACTTGAGTTTATGTGTTCAACTTTACAAAATTGAATTGATACTTGAAAGAAATTTGCAAATTTTTAAAGTAATTTAATGATCATTTAGAGTGATTGCACGGTTTTGGAGTCGTATATTTTGACATTATATTTTTTTGAGGTCTATACAACATTTTGGGTGAAAGAAATTTCAATTTTTAATATTTGCAAACTTCTCTGTGTATGCAAGAGAGTTTACTTTCAATAATTTAGCACTTTTTAAACGATGGATACACCTTTTGGTGTGCCTGTGAGATTTACAAGGCATTATAATTGAGTTGAATTGGAGATAGAATTATAGCTTTAAAGATTTCGTATACCTGTGAGATTTACTTGTATGCAGGAGAGTATACTTTAAATAATTAAGGACATTTTTAATGATGCACACCTTTAAGTGTGCCTATGAGATTTATGAGGCATTATAATTGATTTGAATTGATTGTTGATGTTAAGATTATTAATGTTATAAGTACTTTTGTGCCTCAAGTTAGTTTGATACAACACCAACATCTTTGAAGAATTTATATAAATGACACCTCTTGAAGAAAGGGTTTTTATCGAGGAGATTTAAATGAAAATATTGGTAGAGTGGTTGAAGTTTTTAAAAGTATTCATGGTTGCTATGAGTGTGGAGTGACTCATGAAGGTGGTAGAACTATACTAGATTTTGCTATTGTTATTTGATTTTATAATTGCTAATACTTTATTTAAGGAAAGAGAGGAGCATATCATCACTTACAAGAGTTGACATTGTAAATCTCACATTGATTATTTTCTTATAAGAAAAATAGATCATTTAGATTCCAAAGTTTGTAAAGTCATTTCGATTGAAAGTTTATGTACACAACATCGCTTGTTAGTTTTGAATTTTAAGATGAAGAGGTGAAAAATGAAAAATAAGGTAAGATATTATTCTAGGATTAGATGAAGGTATTTAAAAAAATAGGGATATTAAGAATGTTGTATAGTATGTGGTTGTAGAATAAAAAATTATTTTCTAATGGTTAAAATAGTTGGTGTGTAGATAAAATATACAATAAAAGATAAAATAAGAAGTTTTATTATAAAAATTAGTTTAGATGTAAAAGCTCAAAAAATTGGGAAAGATAGAGGGGCCCATGAGGATTCTAAGAAAGTAACATGTGATACAAAAAATTTAATTTTTAGTGATTTATATAAGATAGCCAAGCATACATATTAAAGAAAAAATTAGTTCAAGTGAAGTGCATTAAGGATGAAGATCAAAAAGTATATTTTTTAAGAAGTGGATATTCAACATAGATGGCTAATATATTTCGATAAAAGGAATCGTTATTTCTTATCCTAGAAGGTAATCATTTGCTAAAATTGGAGAAAGAAGAAACCTACCTAGCTCTCGCGTGAAGCCCGACCGTCCGCCCTCTCTGTTTCGCGCGAACAGTTCTGTTCCGCGAACTGTCTGTTCCGCGGGATAATAAAGGAGGGCCGGAAGAACCGGTTATCACAGGGCTATTCCTCCACTAGATATTAATGAGCTGGCATTACTAATGTTTCAACCACTTAAGCTCAAAACTGAAATCTGCCAAGGCTCCATAGAATTGTGTTGACCCCCCCTTTGCCTACATCAATATTAAAGAAAAAATTAGTTCAAGTGAAGTGCATTAAGGATGAAGATCAAAAAGTATATTTTTTGAGAAGTGGATATTCAACATAGATGGCTAATATATTTCGATAAACTTTTCAATGAAGGTTGTTTATGTTGTAGCAATGTTGATATTGAATCTACATTTCTTTCTTATCATTCCTCACTCTTTTACCTTTTTGTAACTTTGTCATATTTATATGTGCCAATCTCGGTGTAAAAGATATTTGTGTGTTTTTGTTTTGGTTGAATCTTTTGAATTTCTTGATGCTTGTATAACTGTGATGAGGCCTTCTGTTTAACGATATTTAGAAATTCTTTGTCATTGTAAATATTACCGTATTCACTTCTTTAGTGGTTGCGGTTTGCTTTTAGAATTTTTTGCTTCTTTATGGAACATCTTAAGGCAGATTGTAATGCAATTCTACATTGTTTTCTAAAAGCTTCATATAACTTAATCTGTTTCTTTTAGCGTGCATTTGTACTAAATTGAATCACTAACTGCTTGTTCTTAATGTATTTCAGGAACCCAACACTTTAAACGAGCAAGCTATTTTGTTGATTCCACTAGTTTCCTATTCACTTGCTGCTGGTTTTTGTCATCTTTTACCTTTTTATAAGGAGGTATCCATATTTGCAGATGCTCAGGTTTTAAAGGCTAAGGTAAATGTTGAAACTTTTTTGTTTATTCTTTCCCACTGTTTTTCTTATGTTTTGTGTTTAATTGATCTATCCTTTGATAATTATATTTAGTTGTCATCAATGGAAGATTCAGATCAGGCTCTGTTAGACGCTGAAGTGCTTGATTGCTCCATTGAAACTTTAAGCATGTTGCATAAACATAATACCGTTCAGGTTCTTCTTATTTATTAATGTTATTATTTTCATTTAGTTTTCTATATTTTCATCTTTTAGCCTTAATTAAATTTATGCATGATTAGGTGCTAGTGAAGAGTTATCCTAGCATTCGTATTCCTCGGCAGATCCGTGAGCCATTGCTGCATGAAATGGAAGAGTATATTTCTGGTCTTATGGGATCAAACAAGGATTTTGAGAAAACAGTTTTAGGGAACCTCATTAACATTTGTTCTCTTTTGTGCAATTTCATCCATTGTTCAATTTTTTCAAGGTTGGTTCTCTTTCCAGAAGTGAACTATTTGTCACATCATTTTAAATTACAAATTTAATGATTTCTCATGAAATGTAGCCTATGAATACTATGTATGGCCTTGTCATTTAAAAGATGAAATGTACAGATTTTGCTGACCAATGATATTTTGATTTGTTTGATCTATGACAAACGAACTGCATTATGATATTAGTTTCGCCTTCTTAATTGGGCTTTATGATAACATGCTACATGTCTTTCCTTCTCAGTTGAACAATCATGGAGTTTGTGTTACTTACTCAGGAATTTGTGTCACTTATTCAGGAATTTGTGCCCTCTTTGTTTATTTTATCATAAATGCTAATTTTTTTTACTCTTTAGACGTGGGAGTGCTTTATAATGAGTGATTACATTCATTTGGTATAGAGTTAAATGATTATCAGTTAGGCTGAAAGATAACATGTAAGTTGTAAGATGTCTATGCACGTAGTTTCATATTTTTGGTCGTGTCTTTTGTGGGCGAAGGGTATAGGCCCCCTATATTTTTCGCCCGCATCATAACATGTAAGTTGTAAGATGTCTATGCACGTAGTTTCATATTTTTGTAAATTTCATCAGTAATTTAAATTTTTGTATGGACAAATAACATCAACAAATTTGTTGTTGCTCCTCACTGATGAAGCTCTTCCGCTTAGTGCATAGCCTTAGAACTTCAAAATTTTTTCACCAACCTGATTGTTATTTTTTTAATTGATATTTTAAATTTAGGATTTTGTTACAGTTCTAATTACTATCTTTATATTTGGCTTTGAAGGCGTTGTCATCATCAATATTCATTAACATGTTGATTTGGATCCATATTAACAGATGCATATAGGTCTCTTCCTGCTAATTGTAATTATTATGTTTTTGTTTGGTTGGTAACATTGATATAGCCTTTCAACTTTAAATGGAAAAACTGTTTGTTTTTAATTCAATTTTTTATTGGCATTATTGCAGGCTAAAAGATGAGAAAGGACTTTATTACAATAAATTGTTAAACTATACTGTAAAGTTGATTGACCATATTGCTTATTTGATTGATGAAAATTTTCATGAAGTTCAACGAGGCGGTTCTGTTAGCGTTGGCTGCATGTTTGATGGTTCACGGTCCACTTTTATGTCTTTGCAAAGTTTTATATCTGGTCCTCTTTTCAGACTTTTTAAAGACGAAAAACATATTGATACCGAGCTACTCCAAGTCATTCAGTCCGCTGAGAAAATTTTGGCGGTTCTTGGTAGATCATTTACTGTGTTTTCCAATGCTACAGTTAGCCTTTGTTCTGGATTGGATGCACAAGCTCTTCAACTCCCAGGTTTTCAAGAATCCAATTCTGCATTTGATGGTACAGCCCGCATCATGGATGTGGATCTAGATGCTGAGAATTGTTCCAGAGATGCAGATTCCTTTAATTCACCTACAAGCAATTCTTCAACCATGTTTTACAATCCCATGCAGCGTAAATTAACATTAGTTTCTGTGATTTCCTCTTTTTCCTCTGTTTCACCTAAACTTGCTTGGGAAACTTTGTTTGAACTTCTGGGTAAAGAAGATGATGCTAAGGTTAGTTTTTCTTTTCATTTTTATTTTACTTTCTTTTTGTATTTATTATGTGGCAATTGCATAACAACTTTGAGCATTTTCTTTTCTGCAGGTTTCCGAGGTTATTTTGTATAACCTTTGCAAGTACTTCCATGGTTCTTCTGTTTCACTTTCCTCATTGGTACATCCTCTCCCGATCTTGATGCATTCTAATTTCTAATTTTGCTTATAATTACATCCCAGATTATTTATGATTCAGTTATTATCCATTTTTTATGATAATTCTTTATTATTATTTTTATACAATTTGGATTGCAGGCCACATTTTGGTGTTTGATAGTTTGATACTCTATTTTTCGTTCTTATACTTGCCAGGTTAATTCATTACATGACAATCTTGAGAAAAATTCATGCTCAAAACTGAGCTGTGAAAGTATTTTGACGTGTATCCGCATGCTTCTTGGGACTTTGCAATCCAGATGTTCAATCATTGGCAATGCTAATCTTGATTGGGGCACTGAAGATATGGCAGTGGAAGAGGTGTATTCATTTGTTTATGACACTCTTTAGCAATGATTTGGCTATTTTTTTGTCCTTTTTTTTGCAATATTTGTTAACAATATAGTTTAATATGCAAGTAGGTCCAATTGAGTGATTTCTGATTCTGATGTTTGCTTTTGCTTCATGCTCTTTATTTTGTCTTTTGCATATTTTTTCCTTAGGCTATTATTTGACTCGTATTGTTATTATGTCACTATCCAGTTATAAAATTGTTAAAAAAAAAGATTTAATTTTCTTAGTTTGGTGTGCATATTTTTTGTCTACATTAGACTATTAGCTCTTGGTTTAGAAAGACTATAGGTCTGTTTGATTAGTTAGAAAAGAAATTATGACGGGTAAAGAACTACTTTTGTACTAAATTTAAGATTTAAGGAGATATACTGATTTGTGTTGACTAATGTGAATTTGATTTTCCGAGTCATATCATGAATATCTGGTAGAGTGAACAATAATAGAAAAAAATCATATTAATATTGGAAAATTAATTTAATTTTATGCCTTGAAGATCTTATGTAGAGGTAATTTGATAAGGAAATTAACAAAGAGTATAAATGATAATAATCAGTTCTACGTATGTTTTATTGACCTACAAAAGCATATGATCAAGTGCAATTAAGTTGATTTAATAGGTTATTGAGGAGAAATTGTATTTGGAATACCCGTTTGTTGTTGTTAAAGATATGTTTGATGGAGTAATATCTAAAATTTGATGTTATGTGGAGTGCCCAAAAAGTTCCCAATCATACTTAAGTTTTTAGAAGTTCATTTTTTGCATTAAGATATAGGTGTTAGATATTTAAAAGTTAGTTAAGTTGATGTATGCTATTTGCAGAGTGCATTATCTTGTGAATTGAATGGGTTTTTGGCACGAGTTAAAAGTTAGAACAGGAGGGGAAATTTCAAAGATGTGGGGATAATATGTAGTTTTAATCGATACGAAGTTAATAGGGCAATGGATGATCTAGTGATATGTGGATGTGATAGATTTCGATATTGGCTTTATTTTATATTAATATATTCCTTTTAAGTATATTAAAAAGGCAGGAAATGGGTGAAACTTGATGTTTCTAATTTCTCCGCTTCTTTCATGTTAATGAGATTGAGCATCCTTTGTATCTGTTAGTTTGCTTTCTCAATAGAAATAAAAACCTAGAATGGTCAGGACGGTGCATTATTTAGATGGGAGTTTATAGTGATGTGTGCAGGACTGAAGCAATATTGATTGAGGAGGAGAAGATCATGGCTGTGGGAAAGGGCCATAAATCGTCTTTTAAAAAGAATAATGGCCTGAGTTGATGTTTAGTACGGACAATTGCAGCAAATTTAAATCTTTTGACTTTCATTTATCTTTATTAGGTATTCTTTCTATCTGACACCGTAAAGAAGTTCGAAACACCACTCAAATGAAACTTATTTCTTTAATTATATCATGATATAGATTATTACAAATCCTGATATCAGCATGAAAACTTTTAATCTCTATTAATTCCAAGAAGTATTCAAAATTCATGTTAAAATGGACCTTGCACAACTAAAACTGGTTTCCAAAACCTTTGTTAAAATAAATATTCTAAAAAATTCTTCAACAGAGGGACGGTCACCCAGTTATTCTTCCTGGTTAGTTCTAGCTGCCAAATCCAGTACTATGCTGTGGATGCAGGTCTGAAATACTTCAACCAGCAGGTTTTGATAGTGTTGTTCATGTGTTCCTCGGGAAAGAAAAAAACTTGAACAGGCACCGAACCTGGAACAAGAAAGCTGATAGGTATTTGCTGATATATTAGAATAAAATGAAATAATTGATAAAGAAACAGAGAGAAGATAACCTAGAAAAGGTTCGTCTATTCCTTCAGGCCAATTTCCTTGCAGTTTCTTGGATTCTTGTTCCCTTCTTTCCTGTTATTCTTGCAGTTTGATTTAAGTCTAAGAGGTGTTTGAGCAGTTGGCAGTGGATTGCGTTAAAGTAGCAGAAGATGTTCATCCCTTGATGGGGAATTCTTGCTTACCAGGTTTGTCTCTAGCTGTTCTTGCTGGCAGCCTTGCAGCCCAATGGCGCAGGTGCTTGCTGCAGGCTTCAATTGGCTGCCCAACCTGTGTTTTTCAGTCGAACACCGGGGAATACCCCATCTGAATCAATCCGCTGTTTCCTGGTTGAATTGCACCCAATAGTACCCAATGAAGTTGTTGACCACTGACTAGCTGACTTGCCCCACTCGCAACTGCCCACCTCATGCACGGTTTTTCTAAACGACGCAACGCTCCTCATGTAACTTCTGCTCATCATATAAAAGCAAACAACTGCTTGCTCCCTCTATTCTATTAAACTCTCATTCGAACACAGACAAAAAACTGAAAAAGGAATGTGCTCACCCCTCTTCGTCTCTATTTGTTGGCACGACGCTCCACACGAAAGTCCCCAATCTCTACCTCACTCGAATCCTCCTTCACATACGAAAGAGCTGCTCGATCTTCACATGTTACAATTGTAGAGCCGCATGGGACTGCGCTCCTTGCTTTTGACCCGTGCGCCACATCTATACCCGCCTTTCACCCATTTCCTGCTCTTGACCTAGACTTGAGTCCAGCTTGCTCGTTCACCTCTTCCTGCTATCCAACCAGAACCACTCGACCCAATTGCTGCTCGAACCGATTGCCGCTCGGTCCGGTCTTCTGATCTGTGCTATGCTATTGTCCTATGACTTCAACCGCACACACTTCTTCAGCTCCGTCCTCCACTCATGATTATGTAGATTTAGGATTGAAATGTTTGTGTGTGTGTGTATGTATATATATAATACATCAACAATAATAACAACAATCCTTTATCCCACTATGTGGGGTCAGCTACATGAATCTTTTAGGGCCAATTTTAAAAAGGAGCACCTTATTTATCACAATTTGTAGAAGGAGCATGTTTAGTTAACAATTTAATAAGAAGCTAATTCGCCAATTTATTTGGCGTATTCATGAAGAGAGAGAGAAAGTGATAGGTAGAGAGAAAGAGAGAAGGGAGAGGGAAGAGAGAGAGGCAGCGGTAGAGAGTTTTAAAATTAATTTTTGTTATAATATTTGCATAATTTAATTAATGTTATATTTATATTTTATTTATTTTAAAATAAATATAATGGGAGTTACTAATATATTTTAGTTTTAAGTATATATAATGTGGGACATTTTTTACTAAAAGGATGTTTTTCGAGATTAAAACATAATATAAAATATAACTTAAATTTAATTAAATTAGTTATTAATTTAAGTTATAAAATTCTAACACATAATATTAAAGTTATCAACTTATTTTAATTTGTACACTTGTAAATTTAATATACTTAATGTTATAATTTTATAATTTACATTTATATCTCCTTTAAAATTTGTATACTTAATATTATATTTTAATCTAATTTATTGTAACTTTATAACTGTAACTAAATTCCAATAAACTTAGTTTAAGATTTCTAACTTGATTTAATTTAATTTAGCTATTTTTAAAGTGTGTATTTTGTCTAATTTAAGGTTATAACATAAATTAATATTTTATGTCATAACATTTATATAGATTTAAATATTTATTAAAAATTTAATTAATATTTATAACTATAGTTTACATTGATATTTATAAAAATTCATTTTAAACATTTATAGACTAATAAGACTTTAATATATTTATAAATCTGAAGTAGGTTCCATATAAATAATTTAATTTAATATTTAATAAATACTTAAATTTATTTTTAGATAATTTATTAAAAATTATTTAATATTTATAACTATTATATTTATTTTAAAATAAATAAAATATAAATATAACATTAATTAAATTATGCAAATATTATAACAAAAATTAATTTTAAAACTCTCTACCGCTGCCTATCTCTCTCTCTTCCCTCTCCCTTCTCTCTTTCTCTCTACCTGTCAATTTTTCTCTCTCTCTCTCTCTCTTCATGAATACGCCAAATAAATTGGCGAATTAGCTTCTTATTAAATTTTTAATTAAACATGCTCCTTCTACTAATTGTGATAAATAAGGTGCTCCTTTTTAAAATTGGCCCAATCTTTTATCTCCATTGTGTCATGTTAAAAGTCATATTCTCATCTAAATCTAGTAAACAAAAGTCATTTCTAATATTTTCTAATTGTCTTTTTAGGTCTACCAGTGCTTAAAATTGCGTATTCGGGTATTGAGGCTTTTTTCATTCCTGAGGCAAGGCGTAAGCCTCAAGGCGTTTTGAGGTGTAAGCCTCAAAATCAAAAGATTGCGTAAACATAAAATGATAATTTTTTTATATACTAATGAGTGAATAATATAAAACATAAAAAAGCATAAGATATGAAGTGAAATCAAAATATCCCAATAATAAGACAACATGAAATATAGTTCTAACTCAAAATTCTATCTTTCCCAAGTCTCAGCATTCTTTTCATTAACATATAATTCAAATTTCCAAAAATAAACAACAATGACATATCACATAAGAACTCATAAGTCATCAGCACTGTCATCACTAAGGGGTTCTTCATTTGAATCATCATTATGATGAACTGCTCTCTCCCCTTCCTCCTCTCCTATAGAGTCCAATGCCGGGCATTTACTTCAAGATTTATGTAAGTTTTACTATATATAGCGCGAGGCTTAAGCCTCATGCCAGTGAGGTGAGTCGGGCCTCAAGGCGAATCTCAACCAAATTGAGGCGCAAGCCTCATAAAAAAAATTGGAGGAGGTGTTTTTTACTGGAATTGCGCAAAGGAGGGCCTCAAGGCGAGCCTCATATTGCACAATTTTAAACTATGAGGTCTACCTCTACCTTTCTTAACATAAGCTAAATCTAATGCATCTACTTTACTAATCGGGTCATCTTATCTCCTATTGGAGCTACTCCAACCTTTTCACGTATATGCTCATTTCATATCCTGTCTCTAAGAGTAAAACCACTCATTCACCTGAGCATCCTCATCTATGCAACACTTAACTTAATATT